CACCTCAGCTGGGAGAGTGCTTCCCAGCCTGGGTAGACAGACTCGCATTAGCTCCACTCGAACTAACACACTAAAATTAATGTTGACGTTGTGGCACAGGCTAGCTCTCCAAGTATGAGTCCAACTAGCTCCGAGCTCAGGTGGCTAACCTGTGCCGCCACCCATGCCACAATGTCCGCACTGCAATTTTAGTGCGCTATTTCAAGCAGAACTAGCTTATGTCTGTCTACTGACGCAGGGAGACATACTCCCAGTTAGTGTAAACATACCCTAAGTGATTTGCCCAAAATCATAGAATATCAGGGTTGGAAGGGACCTCAGGAGGTCATCTAGTCCAACCTCCTGCTCAAAGCAGGACCAATCCCCAGGCAGATTTTTGCCCCAGATCCCTAAATGGCCCCCTCAAGGATTGAACTCACAACCCAAATCACATAGAAAGTCTGTACTATAATGATTAGAATCCAAGTTTCCTGATTTCTGGCTCTGTATTCACTACACTAGATTACCCTGCAGCACATGACAGGAAGAACAAAAGCATAAAATGAGAGAGGGCCTGAGCCAAAGCCCATTGAAATGACTGGAAAGACCTCCCCATTGACTCCAATGGGCTTTGGATCACGCTCTTGATTCTATCCTCACCTGATATTGATCCATTTCCATAATCTCCAGGGAAAGTGCCTGGATTTCTTTTTTGTTCTGTAGGGAGAGAAAATCAGAAACTTTACAAACCTTACCCTGCAGCACCCCTACACTACTCATAAAGCTCTGCAAGGCCAACCCTAAATTCTGCAGGTCTTCTGAATGAAGTAATATCCAGCTCTCTTCCCCTGAAGTGACATTCTCTCCTCTGGTCATCTGCCCTGTATCCCACTCCAGATTTTATGAGAATGCAATATGTATCAAACTACTCAACCGTCCACCCCTCCAAAAGAAGAGGTGTCTCTGGATGCTGAGACGTGGGGTGACAAAGGTCTAGGAAGGAAGCAAGTAATCTGGTCATAGGTACAGTGGTAACAAGAGGATGCCCAAATCTTGGAACCCCTTCAAATGCAGAGTTTGGGGCTTTTCCTGAAGTACTGGGGTGATGGTGGGAAGATGGGAGAACAGGAAAGGACGCAACAGGTTGGGAGGGAATTAAAACTCATTTGGTTTCATTTTCACCGGCTGGTGTATCAGAAGCTTCTGCCCCTTCCATGGATCCCAGACTATAAGAGAAAATCAAATGGACAAATGTCTCAGGCGTGTCTCTTTGAAAGCAGCTGTCTCCCCATGGTGGCCTGTGGGGGGAAGAACAGAGCAGCAGGTGAGGAGGAGTTTTCAAACACCCAGTAACTGTTTAGAATCCTAGGGCAGTCAGGTTCTGAGTCTCCCACAGTCCCCAGTTACGGGAGACCATAAAAGCCTCACCATGCAGTAGACACACACATACGCGCTGGCCAGGACTCAAGCTTTCAATTTTCCCTTGCTTGGTGACAGATGTGGGGGAAGTTTTAGGTTTGGCTAGGTATGTGTTGCTGATTGCTATATTGGCTGGATTATTTCAGTCTAGCACAGCAGCTTTGCCAATGGCTGCAGTTCAGACTCTCTTTCTAAAGCTCCAATCCAGCCTAAACTCTTATGAACATATGAGCCACACAGAGTGTCACTTCTGTACCACATTGTTGAATCTTCACATATCCTTAGGCATGTATTCTTCTTTCAATAATCCTCAATTCAAAAATAATAGTCCATTATGATAATTTGTGACCTAAGAAAAGACAGTACTGGGAAACAATTTATCTTAAAGATTGCCGAATCACATTGTTAATACATCATTTTAAATCCTTAGCTCTCCCATCTCTGCCACATACCAACTATCCCTACTCAGAAGGAACAATTCCAGGGTTGTTGTTTTTTTTCAACAAATATATTACTATTTTCAATCTCTCTTAAATATCTGTCCAGAGCAGGATGTTTCAACAGAAGCTGAAGATAGATCCTATCCTCCTACCCTGGTCTGAAAAAAAACCAACAGAAAACAAAACAAACAACCCCCTGCCCCCAATTTATTGCTTTTGAACGCTGTTTAGATGTTTTTTAGTAGTATCTTCTTTGTTATTGCTTGCTACCTCCCATCTGGCAAGTGACTTGACCACAGGTGATTGCTATTATTTTTTGGTTACATAGGCAGATTCACATAATAGGCAACTGGATAACCACCTGCTTGGAGTTCATATGCCAGCTATACTTTGTATAGGCCAGGATTATGGCTTCTCTGTAAAGCTGGGTGGGTGTTTTAAGATAGGCATTGGCAGGAAGGGGTATTGCTAGTATTTTCAGCATTTTTTAAAGCTACCTGTGGATTTTGGGGCTGCTAGACTTTAGAATTTACAATAGCAATAATTGTACAACATTCTCACATCACTGGGAGCAAGACTAAGGCACAGAGTTATAATTTTGATAACAAGTAGGAGAGCAGTAGGACCAAGGGTGGGATGAATGCTCAGTTGTTCCAAGCATTCTCTTTTAGATGGAGTTACTTACTGGAAAAAGCATGTAATCAATAGTCACTGTATTTGGATTAGTTTTCCAGATAAGGTTAATTAGATTTGCTTCCAGACACCTACTAATACAGATAATAATAATTAGCACTTTGATAGCGCTTTACATTTTCAAAGTGCTACAGAAACATGAATTAATCAATCCTGACAATGCCCCAATTTTTATCCTTATTTTGCACATGTTGCAACTGTAACACTTTGAAATTAAGCAACTTGCCCAAGGTCACGAAGTTTGATAGTGGTCAAAACTTGAATTAGAACCCAGGAGAAAGGGTGGTGGTGTGATTAAAGCACTGGTCTGTGATTCAGCAGATCAGAGTTTCATTTCTGACTTTTCTATTGCCTTCCTATACACCCTGAGCAAGTCACTTACTCTAGTCTCTCTGCACTTTGATTCCCCATGCATAAAATAGAGACAATATTTCTCTTACTTCATAAGGGTGTTGTGAGGATGTCTATTAATGTTGTGAAGTGCTCAGATACTACAGTAATGGAGGTCATATAGGTAGACAGACATATAGATTTTCTATCTCATGAGTCAGTAGCTGTGGTAGATCAAAGCTCAATCCCCCCTAGACCACACTGTCTTCAGTTAAGAAGTACTTAACACTTTCAGGACATTACTGCACAGTGGAGCAAGCCAGGCAACAGTGCCTTGGTATTTACATATTTAGGATGCCTCCAATTCTTTGATCATTGGGTACCAATCTCCACAGCCAAGCTTAAAGGATTATGACATGCCTGCTGACAGTGGGGAGCAAAGGGGGCAATTGCCCAGAGGCCCGGGTGATTTAAAAGGGCCTGGGGGCCCCCAGCAGCGCAGCAGGGCTAAGGCAGGCTTCCTGCCCGTCCTCACTCCACGCCGCTCCCAGAAGTGGCCAGAACGGCCCTATGGCCCCTGGAGGGGAGGGCAGGGGGTCTCCAAGTGCTACCCCCGCCTCAAGCACCAACTCCGTGGCTCCCATTGGCTGGGCAGCAGCGTGCGGAGACGGAGGTCTCCCGCCTAGGAGCCACTTCCAGAGGGGTTTGCCGGTTGCTTTCGGGAGCTGCCCGAGGTAAGCGCCAAACTCCTGACCCTACTCCTGCACCCCAACCCCCACCCCAGCCTAGAGACCACACCCCACAACCAAACTCCCTCCCAGAGCCCACACCCTGCACTCCCTCCTGTACCCAAACTCTCTCCCGCAACCCCTCCTGCACCCAAACTCTCTCCCAGAACCCGACCCCTCACCCCCTTCCACACCCAAACTCCCTCCCAGAGCCTGCACCCCGCACTCCCTCCTGCACCCAAACTCTCTCCTGCAACCCCTTCTGCACCCAAACTCTCTCCCAGAGCCTGCACCTCCTCCTCCTGCAGCCCAACCCCCCGCCCCAGTCTGGTGAGAGTGAGTGAGGGTAGGGGAGAGTGAGTGACAGAGGGAGGGGGAATAAAGTGAGAAGGGGCAGGGTAGGGGTGTGGCCTCAGGGAAGGGGCGGAGCAGGGGTGGGGCAAGGGTCTTTGGGTTTGTGCAATTACAGTTGGCAACCCTACTGGGCAGGCATGTGGAAACCCTGGCTGTGCCAGAAGAACACGCCCAGCAGCGCAGCCGGCAGCTCACTGGGCACCAGCCAGCGCAGGTGCAGCACCGCCCAAATGTCAGGTGGATCACGTCCGCGCAGGCGCAGCTTGTGCATGCATGGGGGCCCATTGACTGTTCTGCCCTGGGGCCGGAAATTGCCCTGCAGGCCTGGATTATGGGGTGCATTGCCTTCATTTCTGCAGCAAATGCCCCAGACCCCCACCCCAAAGGGAGGAACTTGCCCCCTTCAGCACGAGGCCTTCGCTCCCAAAACAGGAGGGAGTCTCCCCACCCCAAAATGAGAGACCCTCCCCCCAAAACAGGGAGTCTCCCCGCACAAATAAGAGCCCCCCAAAAACCCTATGGGATTCTTCCCCGCACAAATAAGAGCCCCCTTCTAAGAAAGCCGCCTTCCAAATGAGAGCCCTCCCCACACCAAAACTCCTCCATTCCCCAGCATGAATGGACTCTCCCGGCTCCAGGTCCCGCCCCTCATGTGCTACACCACGGGGGGGGGGGGGGGCAGCCAGGCTCCTAAGGGCTGACAGCACCTCTTAGAAAGGCCCCGCCCCTACCTGCCCCAATACCCGTTAGAAACGCCTCGTCCCCCCTCTCCATGTCTACCCACCCCTTGGAGAAGCCCTGTCCCTCGCTTGATACCCGCCCCGCCCATTTTCAAAAGCCACGCCCACTACACTATCCGCTCCGCCCCTCCCCCCTAGAGAAGGCTGGTCTAGTCTCATGGGATCCCCGCCCCGTCTCCGTGGAGGCTCCGCCCCCTCATGGAAGCCCTGCCCCGTCTGGGGAAAATGTGAAGGAGAGTGGGTTTCACTTCCGGAGCACCTTGTCCCCACCCCCGGGTTCACTTCCGGTGTTGTCGGGAAAGGGGGGTCCCCGTTCTTGGTACTGCTGCCGGAGGGAGGGTGGGAGTTGAGGTCTCATGGAGCCGTAGCTGTGAGGAGTCCCCGGCCCGGGCCCGGTGTGGGAGCCGGGCGGAGGCTGGACACGGGAGCCCCCGGAGCCGGAGGAGATGGACAAACTGACCATCATCTCAGGATGCCTCTTTCTGGCCGCCGACATCTTCGCCATCGCGAGCCTGGCGAACCCGGACTGGATCAACACCGGGGAGTCCGCGGGTGAGAGGCTGAGCGGGCCTGGAGCGGATCAACAGCGAGGGGTCAGGGTGCAGCCGCCGGGGGTCGGGGGCGGAGTGGATCAAAGCCAGGACTCCGGGGGGTGGTGAGGGGGCCCGGACTGGGTAAGCAGCAGGTGAAGGGGGCTGGGGGAGCTGGATCGTTCCTTACTGGGGAGTCTGTGGGTGAGGGGGCTGGGGGACTTCGGCTGGAACTGGGAACATGCGGCGGGAGCGGGCGCAGGGCCACTGGGAGTGGGTCAGCACCACAGAGCCTATGGCTGGGGGGCTGGGAGGCGACGGGCACAGCCTGAATTGACACCGGGAGCCTTCGGATGAGGAAGCTGAGGGACGGGGACTAGGTCACAGGGAGCAGTCAAGGTGGAGTGGGGGGGGACCCTGCTTAAATGAATATGTGTGGGGAGTTCTCAGGTGAAGGAGGATGGTAGTTCTGAGTATTGGCGAAACCTGGATTAGATAATCTTTGGGGAGTCTGAGATGAGAGGGGCTTGGACTGAGGGGTACTGCAGAGTCTGAGCTGAGAAGTTGATACTCTAGCTGGTCGGGACAGGATATATTCTGGTGGAAATCTATAGAAGGGCTCGAGTTACATGGGGCAGGTGAGTCTGGCCAACACGGGTCTGGATCAATGGGAGTAGTCTATGGATTGGGTGAGATATTCTGCGAGAGGAAAATCTGCAGATGAGAGATTCTAGGGCACTGCCTGGCCAATTTGAACTGGATCAGTATTGGGGGAAATATGTGTGCGTAGCTAGGCAACCATATTGGATTAAAAATGGTGAAAGATGTGGACAAGAAGCCAGTTTGGTTTGGATCAGTGCTGGAATATCTCTTGATGAGATCTGAAGTGGGATCAATCCTGGGTAGTCCACAATAAGAGAGTGCAGATTGTTCAGCCTCACCAGCCCAGACTGGATCAAGACCAGGTTGTGGAGTCACAGAGAATACCAGCCTGGCTGAATTGGACTGGAGTAATAACAGTAAGTTCACATTGAGAAAACCCTGGGATAAGGGGCAAGATGGAGCCTGATCTGTCAACTCAGTCAGAACATAAGAATGGCCATACTGGTTCTGACCAGTGGTCCATCAAGCCCAGTATTCTGTCTTCCGAAAGTGGCCTGTACCAGATGCTTCAGAGGGAGTGAACAGAAAAGGTCAGTGTATTGAGAGATTCATACCCTGTCCTCCAGTACCAGCTTCTAGCAGTCACAGATTTAGGGACACCCAGAGCATGGGGTTGCATCCCTGATCATCTTGGCTAATAGCTATTGATGAACCAGTCCTCCATGAACTTATCTAATTCACTTTGAACCCAGTTATACTTTTGGCCTTCGCAAGATCCCATGGCAACAGGTTCCACAGGTTGACTGTGCATTGTATGAAGAAGTACTTCCTTATGTTTGGTTTAATCCTGCTGCTTATTAATTTAATTGGGTGACCCCTGGTTCGTGTTTTATGTGAAGGGGTAAATAACACTTCCTTATTCACTTTCTCCACACCAGTCATGATTTTATAGACCTCTATCATATCCCCCATCATTTGTCTCTTTTCCAAACTGAACAGTCCCAGTCTTTTTAATCTCTCTTTATGTGGAAGCTGTTCCCAACCCTTAATTATTTTTGTTGCACTTCTCTCTGCTTTTTCCCATTCTAATATATCTTTTTTTGAAATTGGGCAACCAGAACTGCATGCAGTAGTCAAGCTATGGGTGTATCGTGGATTTATATAAAGGCATTATGATATTCTCTGTCTTATTATCTATCCTTTTCCTAATGGTTCCCAACATTCTGCTAGCTTTTTTGACTTCTGCACATTTATCAGATGTTTTCAGAGAACTATCCATGATAACTCCAAGATCTCTTTCTTGAGTGGTAACAGTTAATGTAGACCCCATCATTTTGTATGTATAACTGGGATTATGTTTTCCAATGTGCATTACTTTGCATTTATCAATGATGAATTTCATCTGCCATTTTCTTGCCCAGTCACATAGTTTTGTGAGATCCCTTTGCAACTCTTTGCAGTCTGCTTTGGACTTAACTACTCTGAGTAATTTTGTATTGTCTGCAAACTTTCCCACCTCACTGTTTACCCTTTTTTCCAGATCATTTATGGATAACTTTGAACAGCTCTGGTCCCAGTACAGATTCTTGGGGGATTCTGCTATTTATCTCTACCCACTATAAAAACTGACCACTTATTCCTAGCTATTGTATCTTTCCACTAGTTATTGATCCATGAGAGCAGTCATGGGATAAGGTCCTTACTTTGCTTAAGAGCCTTTGGTGAGGAACCTTGTCAAAGGCTTTCTGAAAGACCAAATACACTATGTCCACTGGATCACCTCTGTCCGCATGTTTGTTGGCAGCTTCAAATAATTCTGATACATTGGTGAGGCATGATTTCCCCTTACAAAAGCTGTGTTGACTCTTCCCAACTTATCGTGTTTATCTACAGTTTCAACCAATTTGTCTAATACTGAAGTCAGGCTTACTGGCCTGTAATTGCCAAGATTGCCTCTGTAGCCTTTTTAAAAAATTAGTGTCACATTAGCTATCCACCAGTCATCTGGTACAGATGCTGATTTAAATGACAGATTGTATACCACAGTTAGTAGTTTCATATTTGAGTTCCTTCAAAACTCTTGGCTGAATACTATCTGGTCCTGGTGATTTATTACTGTTTAAATTAATGTTCTGATTTAATGCTTCTGTGCTGAACTTTGCTGCCTTTGCCATCCTATCTATGATCAGGGGTGGCTGCTAGTTCAGAGATGTTGCTGCATAATGCATAGTGCAGGGACAGCTGGACAGCAGTTTTTAGAAGAAAAGAAGATTTAGAATAGGTTACTATCAGCTTCTGTGTTATAAGTTTGTGCTGAGATTCTCTTTTGATTTTCCCCCTGCCCCCCCACAACTTTCACATCTTCACTGCTTGATGTTTAGGCCCTGCCAGAGGGTTTAAATAAACTCATTGAAATGTAGACTATTCATGAATAGTGGTGGTTCATAGTTTTCTAATTTTGGTGTAGCAAAGCAATTAGAAACAAGTCAGCTTTTAGGGGTTGATTAATGTTTAGCCACAGGAGTGCCCAGTAATTCAATATGGGAGTTGGGGCGGCGTTTTAGGTACCCCTGTCTATTGTTATGGAAACTTTTTGCCCCTTGCTAATGGCACTGAGGAAAAGAATAGGGCATTTCCCCCTTCCAGAGTTAAGCATGCAAGGACCTCCTAGCTGACTACATCACTTTTCCTATAGCTAGTTGTGATTATCTCCCTTATGCCTTGTCTGCAGGTCAGTTGTCTTCTGTTATAACTCTGCTACTATGTGGAACTCTAGGTAGCGAGCCATTGTGCAGGGATTTTTAAATCTAATAAAGCTGAGTATGTTTAAAATATGTAGATATGATTTTTTTGTAAATCACTGCTCATGTTATTCTATCACACGGACCTGGAAGGGCTCAACAGGCTTCTGTTTGTTTCCTATCACACTGGACCCATGTGCTCTTAAGCTTTCCTTGATCTGAGTAGACTGCAGCCCTGTCTTTTTCTTTTGCTTCTCTGACATGCTTCCTTGACACAGGCTCTGTCTGTTACCCCTTCATGGAGATGGTGCCCCAAGGCCCTGCTGGCTTAGGCCTCCAGGACTAGTGCTCCCAAGTAGCTTAAGCATACCCTTTCCCAGAGCTCCAACCTTGTGGGTGCTCTTCAGGGACACATGGTAGTAGGGAGCAGGGTGGATGGGAAACAGACAAAGACTTTGTAAGGGATCCCAAAACCCAATCATACTACTTTAGATAGCACAAAAGATATACAGACCTAGGCAAAACAATAAAACATCTATATGCCTTTCCTTGTCTCAGTTTTCTCACTGCTTTTAGGAGTTCTTTGAACTCAGGTCAGATTCGTCTAAGGCAAATGGTTCTCAACCAGGGGTATGCAGAGATCTTCCAGGGGGTACATCAACTCATCTAGATATTTGCCTAGTTTTACCACAGTCTACATAAAAAGCACTAGCAAAATCAGTACAAACTAAAATTTCATAAATTTCTTTTTTATACTGCTCTATATACTAGACACTGAAATGTAAATACAATATTTATATTCCAATTGCTCTATTTTTGTAATATGGTAAAATTATAATTTTCCAGTAATAGTGTGCTGTGACACTTGAATTTTTATGTCTGATTTCGTAAGCAAGTCGTTTTTAAGTGAGGTGAAACTTGGGAGTAAGCAAGACAAATCAGCCTCCTGAAAGGGGTACAGTAGTCTGGAAAGGTTGAGAACCACTGCTCTAAGGAGTCTAGGAACAGCCCCCTCCTGCACATGGCTTCTCCTCCTAATCACCCAGTTGCCTTCTTCCTCTGCTGCTTTCACAGTTAAACAGGATCCCCTGCTGTGAAAGCCTGCCCCTCTCTCCTTCTTCCTCTTCCTTGCTCTGTGAGTCCCTTGAGTTTATAAGGGCTTGTCTGCATGGTGAGTTGCTGCGCAGCAAGCCAGAGTGTGATGCTACAGCACACCAGCTTGCTGTGCAGTAACTCACTGTATAGACATGACGACGGTGGCGTGTGGCTTAGTGTGCTACTACTTCAGAGTGTAGTATGCCAAGCCATGCTCTGGGACTTTCACTGCACTGTAGCAATTTTATGGCAAATTACTATGTGGCAACCTGGTGTGCTGAAGAGTCACACCTTGTCTTGTGCAGTAACTTGCACGTAAATAAGCCCTTAGTCCTGTTACTAACACCTACTTCGTTTGTTCTGCTGCTGTAGAAATTTTGCTGCTACAAACCCCAGCCCACTTCATGGAATCTGGAGAAAACTGGCTTCCACCAGACTTTAGCCATCTCGTTCTCTCTGGGGCAGGTCTGCTCACTAGTAGGAGGCCCTTAGTTACTGTCTCTTTCAAAGGCAGACTTTGGACAGGGAACATGAGTTAAGAATATGGTAAATGGCTTAAGTATACAGAGTTCATAATATCAAA